ACCTTTCCCACCTTCGGCGAGGGGTAATAAATATTTGCTGGTCGGGGTTGAGTACCTCTCCCGTTGGCCGATGGCCTGGCCGTTGCCCGATCAATCGGCCGCGGCCATTACCGACGCCTTTTTGTTCGGATATGTTATGGACAAGGGTGCGCCGGAGAGACTCCTTACGGATCAGGGCCGAAATTTTTCTTCGAAATTATTGGCGGAAGTATGCGCGGGCCTAGGGACTAAGAAGGTCCGGACATCCCCATACCATCCGCAAACGGATGGTATGGTTGAGCGGCTAAACCGGACATTGTCTGCCATGCTGTGCCACACGGTGAGTGAGCAACAATCGGATTGGGACCTGCACATCCCGGGGGTGCTTTCGGCGTACAGGATGACTCCTCATGCGGCTACGGGTTATTCGCCATTTTACCTTATGTATGGTCGGGAAAACGTGCCGCCAATGGATGTGCAGATGGGAACCGGTGTGAGGGGACCTTGTAAACCGCTTCCTGACTACATTCGGGACACTGTTCGCCGGGTCTCGGAGGCGCGGGAGAGTGCCCGTGTGGCTACGGCCAAAGCTCAGGCCCGAAATGAGAGGTACGCACGGCGTTCCAAAGGGGAGTGCCCCTGGAAGGTTGGGGACCTGGCCTGGCTCCATTGCCCGCAGGTGCGGCCGGGTACCTCTCCCAAATTTCACAAACCTTGGCGAGGGCCTGTCCGCCTCATTGAGGTTCCTAATCCTCAGTCGGCGCGTGTTCAAATTGGTTCTCGCCGCTGGTTTGTTCACACGTCGCGCTTGAAACCGTATGTTGCTCCCCTACATGATGCATCATCTCCCAATGTTGCCTTGCCGGGGTCTGTTGCTGCCGACTCTCCCCCGCCTGCGTCCATTGATCTTGCTAGAGCGCCTGTCGTACCTGTTCCAGGCAGGCCGGCCTTGACACCGGAGGGGACGAGGCGCTCTGCTCGGAGGGTGCCTGCCAGATCTGCGGGTCCTTCGAGCCCTGCAGCCCTTCCGACCCCGCTGCAGACGCATCCGCGGGACAAGCCCAAGACTGATCCTTCAAGGACACGGGACGTTGGTGGACTTCCAACAGCGACAGGGGGATTTCACCCTGTCGCTCCTCAAACTCAATCACGTTCCCGTTCCGCGGATGGGCCGCCGACCGTCCGGGACGGGCCGGCGACCCGCACACGCTCTAAATCCCTTGTGTTTCGTTGATTGTTGTGTTGTATTGTTCTTACTGTGTATTTATTGCCTGCTTCTGCTACGTTATTGATTGTTGAGTTGTGTTGATTGTTCTTACTGTTATATTGCATGCTTGGTGTCCTTTGGTGTGTTACGCTCGGGTTCGCCCGCATTACTGTTGGTGTTGTTCAGCCGAGGTCGGCTGGGTTTTTCTCCACGGGGGAGGGTGGTGTAATGCGGGCGCGGGCGACCTCCCGGATGTGACGTCACGGAGAGGTGGAGTTAGGTGACGTGGGAGGAAAGGTTAAGGTTCTTAAGGGAGGAGACCGGAAGAGGAAGGCAGAACGAGTGGGACTGGACCAGAGTAAGGCCACGTGGGCAAAGCCAAGGGGTGGCAGCGGCGGCCAGCGGTGGCCAGCTAAGGGAGCAGCCAGCGGAGCTGCGAGAGAAGACAGCGGTGGGGCGGCTGGAGAGAAGGCGGACGAGGAGCTGCGGGGAACACAGCCGGCGAGGCTGTGTGTGAGGGAGAGGCTACGAGAGCGACGAGAGGAGAGAGAGGCTGAGAGAACGACGAGGGGAGAAACTGCAGGAGAGCAGTATCAGTGTCAGTATAGAGTCTTATAGAAGGACAGCCGTGCGGGTTAAGAGAGAAGAACCGAATAAAGGACACCAAGCCAGACATCGTGGTCGAGTCTTTTATTACATTAAAGAGGGGGACCACCAGGGCATCCTTCCAACCCTGCGGAACCTGTCCAGTGGTCTAGACTGTTGTTATGATGTCATGTAGGGCAGTCTGTGCACAAACGCCACCCTCCCTGAGCATTTAGTTTGGGAGATCATCTCTGCCCGGTGCTTTTCCTAGTCTCAGACTCCGGATCGCCTTCAGTACTTCCTCAACAGATGGCACCTCAGCCAGCCACTCACAGGGGGTGACCTCTTCCAATATTTGAGGCACCGCAGCCTCAGCAGGGTTATCCCCACTTTGTGCCATGATGTTTTCCTGGCTGAGGGATTTTCCCTCCCCCAGGACCTCACAGAAATACTCAGCAAATCTGCAAACCTGTTCCTGGGGGTCGGAGATTGGATCACCGTTTTTTCCCCTAATGATGGTAATAGGTGTGGCGCTGCAGGTTACTTTTTTGATGGAATTAAATAGTGATTTGTGATCGCGGGCCACTGAGGCAGACTCTATCTCCTCAGCAACCCGCGACCACCACCCATCTTTGCAGCGCCTTACGGCTCTCCGAACCTCCGAGCGAAGGCTGCGGTAAGCCTCCTCATTCTCTGACGTGGGATGCTGTAGCCGATGAGAGTGGACCTGTCGCTTTTTTTCAACTAACCTGAACACCTCCTCTGTCAGCCAGGGTTTCTGGGGAGGTCTGGACCGCGTACCCAAAGCAGCCATTGCCGCTGCATGAGTCACAGTCCTAAACCTCACTCATTTACCCTCGACATCAGTAGGAGTGGGGGACGATGCCAACCCCAGCTGCAAGCGATGATGAAATTCTCGCTTGCAGCTTTCATCAGCTGAGACCAGGCCACTTTAGGTTGGAATGGGGTCCTGGGTGTACACCCACCACCGGAGTGGAAGAATGGCAGGCGCATCTTACTGATGACTAGTCGATGGTCAGAGGGCAGATCAGCTCCACGGTAGGTCCTGGTGTCAAGGACATGGGCTCGCATCCACTGGTCCGTCACTATGTAGTCCAGCAGATGTTCTTGCTTGGACCCGGCATGTATCCATAATGTTCTGTGGATGCGCCGATGCCGGAAGAGCGTGTTGGTAATTACAAGCCCATGGGCTGCACAAAAATCTAGCAGCCTCCTACCGTTGTTATTGAGCTGATCTGGCCCATGCCTTCTAATCATTCCAGACCAGGTGCCAGCATCATGACCAACTCAGGCATTGAAGTCACCCAACAAGATGACTCTGTCCCGAGTGGCCACTTTAGCCAGCACCTGTGACCGGAGGTCATAGAAGGCATCTGACTCATCGGCTTTGCCTGCATCCCTCCACGGATGTTCGTCTTCGGTGGGGGCATAAGTAACCACGACCACCACTCCTCGCCTCCGGTTGATGGGAAGGCGAGCCCAAAGTATCCTGGGGCTTACAGCTTCCCACACCTCACCGCCACGCTCCCACGCCCCCTTTATTCTTTTGTTCAAAAGAAGAGCCACACCCTGTTGTTTGGCAGTCTCCTGCCCCGAGTAGAGGACTGTCCACCCCTCATGGTGGCAGTAGCCAGAACCGGTCCACCGGACCTCCTGAATGCCACAGAGGTCCAGGCGGTACCGGTCCAGCTCCCGACAAAGGAGTGGCAACCTCTCCTCCGCAGTGAGCGCTCGAACATTCCACGTGGCCATCCGTAATGGCTTTTCGTTGTTTCTGGAGGAGCCCCGAGGGTGAAGATTCAATCTCCTGGCTCCGCCAATTGGGGTTTGGCCAGGAGACGTCATAGACGCCTGTCCCCCCTGGGCTTCCGGCACAAGCTTATTTGTTACAGGTTTATGTTTAAGTCGTGGTTTCGTGGTAATTAATTGAAGGTGGAGGGGTTACCAGCCCCTCGCACCCGTCCAGAGCCCCCGTTTAGCCACTGTGGTGGTCACAGACGTCATGAGGGGAGAGGCCAATGAGGCATTGGCCCTCCTCCCACAGCACTGTCCACGACAGTGTTGCCCGTCCGGCACCGCGAGGAGGTAGGAGGTTGTTTTGCCGGACACCTATGTACACTCACACACGTACACTCACACACGTACACTCACACACACGCATGTACACTCACACACGTACACTCACACACGTATTTACACTCACACATACACACACACGTACACTCACACACACACGTACACTCACACACACACACTTACACTCACACACACACACGTACACACACGTACACTCACACACACTCACACACGTACGTACACTCACGTACGTACGTACGTACATGCAGATCGAAGCCCTTGTGTGTGTACTGGACGCACTCACCACTCTGAACGCTTCTCTCTGCTTATTCACGCTCCCTGCTGCTACTCCACACTCCGTGCTGCGTGCTGCCCTACATTGTGTTCTGCATGCTGCTCCCTGCTGCTGCTGCTGCTCCCTCCTGCTCCCTGCTGCTCCATGCTGCTGCTGCTCCCTGCTGCTCCATGCTGCTCCCTGCTGCTCCCTGCTGCATGCTGCTCCCTGCTGCTCCCTGCTGCTGTACACTCTGCGCTGCTCCCTGCTGCTCCCTTCTGCTGCTGCTCCCTGCTGCATGCTGCTCCCTGCTGCTGCTGCTCCCTGCTGCTCCCTGCTGCTCCCTGCTGCATGCTGCTCCCTGCTGCTGTGTGCCCCATGCTGCTGCTTGCTCCTTGCTGTGTGCTGCTGTACACTCCGCGCTGCTCCCTGCTGCTCCCTGCTGCATGCTGCTCCCTGCTGCATGCTGCTCCCTGCTGCTCCCTGCTGCTGTGTGCCCCATGCTGCTGCTTGCTCCTTGCTGTGTGCTGCTGTACACTCCGCGCTGCTCCCTGCTGCATGCTGCTCCCTGCTGCTGCTGCTCCCTGCTGCTCCCTGCTGCATGCTGCTCCCTGCTGCTGTGTGCTCCCTGCTGCTCCCTGCTGCTCTCTTCTGCTGCTGCTCTCTGCTGCTGTGTGCCCCATGCTGCTGCTTGCTCCTTGCTGTGTGCTGCTGTACACTCCGCGCTGCTCCCTGCTGCTCCCTTCTGCTGCTGCTCTCTGCTGCTGTGTGCCCCATGCTGCTGCTTGCTCCTTGCTGTGTGCTGCTGTACACTCCGCGCTGCTCTCTGCTGCTCCCTGCTGCTGCTCCCTGCTGCAGGATCCCGCCGTGCATGGAGGTGGGCGTGGAGGCGCGTGGCGAGCTGGAGCGCTCGCTGCTGGACTGCACCATGCGGTTGCAGGGCCGCAACAACCGCACCTGGCTGGTGGAGCTGGCATTCACAGGCTGCCCCGTGCACAGCACCTCGCCCAGAGAGCAGGGTACAGCCCACACAGCACCACCACACACACACACAGCACCACCACACACACACACAGCACCACCACACACACACACAGCACCACCACACACACACAGCACCACCACACACACACAGCACCACCACACACATACACAGCACCACCACACACACACAGCACCACACAGCACCACACAGCACCACACACACACAGCACCACACACACACAGCACCACACACATACACAGCACCACCACACACACAGCACCACACAGCACCACACACACACAGCACCACACACACACAGCACCACCACACACACACAGCACCACACCGCACCACACACACACAGCACCACACACACACAGCACCACCACACACACACAGCACCACCACACACACACAGCACCACACAGCACCACACACACACACACAGCACCACTCACACACACACAGCACCACACAGCACCACACACACACACAGAGAGCAGGGTACAGCCCACACAGCACCACACACAGCACCACACAGCACCACACACTACAGCACCACACACACACAGCACCACCACACACACACAGCACCACCACACACACACAGCACCACCACACACACACAGCACCACACAGCACCACACACACACAGCACCACCACACACACACAGCACCACACAGCACCACACAGCACCACACACACACACACAGCACCACACAGCACCACACAGCACCACACAGCACCACACAGCACCACACAGCACCACACACACACAGCACCACATACACACAGCACCACACACACACAGAGAGCAGGGTACCACCACACAGCACCACACACTCACACAGAGAGCATGGTACCCACCACACAGCACCTCACACTCACACACAGAGAGCAGGGTACACACCACACAGCACCTCACACACTCACACAGAGAGCAGGGTACCCACCACACAGCACCACACTCACACACAGAGAGCAGGGTACCCACCACACAGCACCACACACACACACAGAGAGCAGGGTACCCACCACACAGCACCACACACACACACACAGAGAGCAGGGTACCCACCACACAGCACCACACACTCACACAGAGAGCAGGGTACCCACCACACAGCACCACACACACACAGAGAGCAGGGTACCCACCACACAGCACCACACACTCACACAGAGAGCAGGGTACCCACCACACAGCACCTCACATTCACACAGAGAGCAGGGTACCCACCACACAGCACCTCACATTCACACAGAGAGCAGGGTACCCACCACACAGCACCTCACATTCACACACTGAGAGCAGGGTACCCACCACACAGCACCACACACTCACACACTGAGAGCAGGGTACCCACCACACAGCACCACACACTCACACACTGAGAGCAGGGTACCCACCACACAGCACCACACACTCACACAGAGAGCAGGGTACCCACCACACAGCACCTCACATTCACACAGAGAGCAGGGTACCCACCACACAGCACCTCACATTCACACAGAGAGCAGGGTACCCACCACACAGCACCTCACACTCACACACTGAGAGCAGGGTACCCACCACACAGCACCACACACTCACACACTGAGAGCAGGGTACCCACCACACAGCACCACACACTCACACACTGAGAGCAGGGTACCCACCACACAGCACCTCACACTCACACACAGAGAGCAGGGTACCACCACACAGCACCACACACTCACACACAGAGAGCAGGGTACCCACCACACAGCACCACACACTCACACAGAGAGCAGGGTACCACCACACAGCACCTCACACACACACACAGAGAGCAGGGTACCACCACACAGCACCACACACTCACACAGAGAGCAGGGTACCACCACACAGCACCACACACTCACACAGAGAGCAGGGTACCCACCACACAGCACCTCACACTCACACACAGAGAGCAGGGTACCCACCACACAGCACCACACACTCACACAGAGAGCAGGGTACCACCACACAGCACCTCACACACACACAGAGAGCAGGGTACCCACCACACAGCACCTCACACTCACACACAGAGAGCAGGGTACCCACCACACAGCACCTCACACTCACACACAGAGAGCAGGGTACCCACCACACAGCACCTCACACTCACACAGAGAGCAGGGTACCCTCCACACAGCACCTCACATTCACACAGAGAGCAGGGTACCCTCCACACAGCACCTCACACACACACAGAGAGCAGGGTACCCACCACACAGCACCTCACACTCACACAGAGAGCAGGGTACCCTCCACACAGCACCTCACACTCACACAGAGAGCAGGGTACTCACCACACAGCACCACACACTCACACAGAGAGCAGGGTACCCACCACACAGCACCACACACTCACACACAGAGAGCAGGGTACCCACCACACAGCACCACACACTCACACAGAGAGCAGGGTACCCACCACACAGCACCTCACACTCACACACAGAGAGCAGGGTACCCACCACACAGCACCTCACACTCACACAGAGAGCAGGGTACCCACCACACAGCACCACACACTCACACAGAGAGCAGGGTACCCACCACACAGCACCACACACTCACACAGAGAGCAGGGTACCCACCACACAGCACCTCACACTCACACAGAGAGCAGGGTACCCACCACACAGCACCTCACACTCACACAGAGAGCAGGGTACCCACCACACAGCACCTCACACACACACAGAGAGCAGGGTACTCACCACACAGCACCTCACACACACACACACAGAGCAGGGTACCCACCACACAGCACCTCACACACTCACACAGAGAGCAGGGTACCACCACACAGCATCTCACACTCACACACACAGAGAGCAGGGTACCCACCACACAGCACCTCACACTCACACACAGAGAGCAGGGTACCCACCACACAGCACCTCACACACTCACACAGAGAGCAGGGTACCCACCACACAGCACCTCACACTCACACACAGAGAGCAGGGTACCCACCACACAGCACCTCACACTCACACACAGAGAGCAGGGTACCCACCACACAGCACCACACACTCACACACAGAGAGCAGGGTACCCACCACACAGCACCTCACACTCACACACAGAGAGCAGGGTACCCACCACACAGCACCTCACACACTCACACAGAGAGCAGGGTACCCACCACACAGCACCTCACACACTCACACAGAGAGCAGGGTACCCACCACACAGCACCACACACTCACACACAGAGAGCAGGGTACCCACCACACAGCACCTCACACACACACACACAGAGAGCAGGGTACCCACCACACAGCACCACACACTCACACACAGAGAGCAGGGTACCCACCACACAGCACCTCACACTCACACACAGAGAGCAGGGTACCCACCACACAGCACCACACACTCACACACAGAGAGCAGGTACCCACCACACAGCACCTCACACTCACACACAGAGAGCAGGGTACTCACCACACAGCACCACACACTCACACACAGAGAGCAGGGTACCCACCACACAGCACCTCACACACTCACACAGAGAGCAGGGTACCCACCACACAGCACCTCACACTCACACACAGAGAGCAGGGTACCCACCACACAGCACCTCACACACTCACACAGAGAGCAGGGTACCCACCACACAGCACCTCACACTCACACACTGAGAGCAGGGTACCCACCACACAGCACCTCACACACTCACACAGAGAGCAGGGTACCCACCACACAGCACCTCACACACACACACAGAGAGCAGGGTACCCACCACACAGCACCTCACACACTCACACAGAGAGCAGGGTACCCACCACACAGCACCTCACACACACCACACAGAGAGCAGGGTACCCACCACACAGCACCTACCCACCACACAGCACCTCACACCACACACAGAGAGCAGGGTACCCACCACACAGCACCTCACACTCACACACAGAGAGCAGGGTACCCACCACACAGCACCTCACACACTCACACAGAGAGCAGGGTACCCACCACACAGCACCACACACTCACACACAGAGAGCAGGGTACCCACCACACAGCACCTCACACACACACACAGAGAGCAGGGTACTCACCACACAGCACCTCACACACTCACACAGAGAGCAGGGTACCCACCACACAGCACCACACACTCACACACAGAGAGCAGGGTACCCACCACACAGCACCACACACTCACACAGAGAGCAGGGTACCCACCACACAGCACCACACACTCACACAGAGAGCAGGGTACCCACCACACAGCACCACACACTCACACACAGAGAGCAGGGTACCCACCACACAGCACCTCACACACACACACAGAGAGCAGGGTACCCACCACACAGCACCTCACACTCACACACAGAGAGCAGGGTACCCACCACACAGCACCTCACACACACACACAGAGAGCAGGGTACCCACCACACAGCACCTCACACACACACACAGAGAGCAGGGTACCCACCACACAGCACCACACACACACACACAGAGAGCAGGGTACCCACCACACAGCACCACACACACACACAGAGAGCAGGGTACCCACCACACAGCACCACACACACTCACACAGAGAGCAGGGTACCCACCACACAGCACCTCACACTCACACACAGAGAGCAGGGTACCCACCACACAGCACCTCACACTCACACAGAGAGCAGGGTACCCACCACACAGCACCTCACACACACACACAGAGAGCAGGGTACCCACTACACAGCACCACACTCACACACAGAGAGCAGGGTACCCACCACACAGCACCTCACATTCACACAGAGAGCAGGGTACCCACCACACAGCACCACACACACACACAGAGAGCATGGTACCCACCACACAGCACCTCACATTCACACAGAGAGCAGGGTACCCACCACACAGCACCTCACACTCACACACAGAGAGCATGGTACCCACCACACAGCACCACACACTCACACACAGAGAGCATGGTACCCACCACACAGCACCTCACACTCACACACAGAGAGCATGGTACCCACCACACAGCACCACACACTCACACACAGAGAGCATGGTACCCACCACACAGCACCTCACACTCACACACAGAGAGCATGGTACCCACCACACAGCACCACACACACACACAGAGAGCAGGGTACCCACCACACAGCACCTCACACTCACACACAGAGAGCATGGTACCCACCACACAGCACCACACACACACACACAGAGAGCATGGTACCCACCACACAGCACCTCACACTCACACACAGAGAGCAGGGTACCCACCACACAGCACCACACACTCACACACAGAGAGCATGGTACCCACCACACAGCACCTCACACACACACAGAGAGCAGGGTACCCACCACACAGCACCTCACACACACAGAGAGCAGGGTACCCACCACACAGCACCACACACTCACACAGAGAGCAGGGTACCCACCACACAGCACCACACACTCACACAGAGAGCAGGGTACCCACCACACAGCACCACACACTCACACAGAGAGCAGGGTACCCACTACACAGCACCTCACACACACACAGAGAGCAGGGTACCCACCACACAGCACCTCACACACACACAGAGAGCAGGGTACCCACCACACAGCACCTCACACACACACAGAGAGCAGGGTACCCACTACACAGCACCTCACACACACACAGAGAGCAGGGTACCCACCACACAGCACCTCACACACACACAGAGAGCAGGGTACCCACCACACAGCACCACACACTCACACAGAGAGAGCAGGGTACTCACCACACAGCACCTCACACTCACTCACAGAGAGCAGGGTACTCACCACACAGCACCTCACACTCACTCACAGAGAGCAGGGTACTCACCACACAGCACCTCACACTCACACACAGAGAGCAGGGTACCCACCACACAGCACCACACACTCACTCACAGAGAGCAGGGTACCCACCACACAGCACCTCACACACACACAGAGAGCAGGGTACTCACCACACAGCACCACACACTCACACACATAGAGCAGGGTACCCACCACACAGCACCTCACACACACACAGAGAGCAGGGTACCCACCACACAGCACCTCACACACACAGAGAGCAGGGTACCCACCACACAGCACCTCACACACACACAGAGAGCAGGGTACCCACCACACAGCACCTCACACACACACAGAGAGCAGGGTACCCACTACACAGCACCTCACACTCACACACAGAGCAGGGTACCCACCACACAGCACCTCACACTCACACACAGAGCAGGGTACCCACTACACAGCACCTCACACTCACACAGAGAGCAGGGTACCCACTACACAGCACCTCACACTCACACAGAGAGCAGGGTACCCACCACACAGCACCTCACACTCACACAGAGAGCAGGGTACCCACTACACAGCACCTCACACTCACACAGAGAGCAGGGTACCCACCACACAGCACCTCACACTCACACACAGAGCAGGGTACCCACTACACAGCACCTCACACTCACACAGAGAGCAGGGTACCCACCACACAGCACCTCACACTCACACAGAGAGCAGGGTACCCACTACACAGCACCTCACACTCACACAGAGAGCAGGGTACCCACACACAGCACCACACACTCACACACACACAGAGAGCAGGGTACCACCACACAGCACCTCACACTCACACAGAGAGCAGGGTACCCACTACACAGCACCTCACACTCACACAGAGAGCAGGGTACCCACCACACAGCACCTCACACTCACACAGAGAGCAGGGTACCCACTACACAGCACCTCACACTCACACAGAGAGCAGGGTACCCACCACACAGCACCTCACACTCACACACACACAGAGAGCAGGGTACCACCACACAGCACCTCACACTCACACACACACAGAGAGCAGGGTACCACCACACAGCACCTCACACCACACACACACAGAGAGCAGGGAACCACCACACAGCACCTCACACTCACACACACACAGAGATCAGGGTACTCACCACACAGCACCACACACACACACAGAGAGCAGGGTACCCACCACACAGCACCACACACACAGAGATCAGGGTACTCACCACACAGCACCTCACACACACACAGAGAGCAGGGTACCCACCACACAGCACCACACACTCACACACAGAGAGCAGGGTACCCACCACACAGCACCTCACACACTCACAGAGAGCAGGGTACCCACCACACAGCACCACACACACTCACACAGAGAGCAGGGTACCCACCACACAGCACCACACACACTCACACAGAGAGCAGGGTACCCACCACACAGCACCTCACACTCACACACAGAGAGCAGGGTACCCACCACACAGCACCTCACACTCACACACAGAGAGCAGGGTACCCACCACACAGCACCTCACACTCACACACAGAGAGCAGGGTACCCACCACACAGCACCTCACACACTCACACAGAGAGCAGGGTACCCACCACACAGCACCTCACACTCACACACAGAGAGCAGGGTACCCACCACACAGCACCACACACACACACAGAGAGCAGGGTACCCACCACACAGCACCTCACACACTCACAGAGAGCAGGGTACCCACCACACAGCACCTCACACTCACACACAGAGAGCAGGGTACCCACCACACAGCACCACACACACACACAGAGAGCAGGGTACCCACCACACAGCACCACACACTCACACAGAGAGCAGGGTACCCACCACACAGCACCACACACTCACACAGAGAGCAGGGTACCCACCACACAGCACCACACACACACACAGAGAGCAGGGTACCCACCACACAGCACCACACACTCACACAGAGAGCAGGGTACCCACCACACAGCACCACACACTCACACAGAGAGCAGGGTACCCACCACACAGCACCTCACACACACACAGAGAGCAGGGTACCCACCACACAGCACCACACACTCACACAGAGAGCAGGGTACCACCACACAGCACCCCACACACACACACAGAGAGCAGGGTACCACCACACAGCACCACACACTCACACACAGAGCAGGGTACCCACCACACAGCACCACACACTCACACAGAGAGCAGGGTACCCACCACACAGCACCACACACACACAGAGAGCAGGGTACCCACCACACAGCACCACACACTCACACACACAGAGAGCAGGGTACCCACCACACAGCACCACACACTCACACACACAGAGAGCAGGGTACCCACCACACAGCACCACACACTCACACACACAGAGAGCATGGTACCCACCACACAGCACCACACACACACAGAGAGCAGGGTACCCACCACACAGCACCACACACACACACAGAGAGCAGGGTACCCACCACACAGCACCACACACTCACACACACAGAGAGCAGGGTACCCACCACACAGCACCTCACACTCACACACAGAGAGCAGGGTACCCACCACACAGCACCACACACACACACACAGAGCAGGGTACCCACCACACAGCACCACACACACACAGAGAGCAGGTTACCCACCACACAGCACCACACACTCACACAGAGAGCAGGGTACCCACCACACAGCACCACACACACACACAGAGAGCAGGGTACCCACCACACAGCACCACACACACACACAGAGAGCAGGGTACCCACCACACAGCACCTCACACACACACAGAGAGCAGGGTACCCACCACACAGCACCACACACACACAGAGAGAGCAGGGTACTCACCACACAGCACCTCACACTCACACACAGAGAGCAGGGTACTCACCACACAGCACCTCACACACTCACACAGAGAGCAGGGTACTCACCACACAGCACCTCACACACTCACACACAGAGAGCAGGGTACCCACCACACAGCACCTCACACACACACAGAGAGCAGGGTACCCACCACACAGCACCTCACACTCACACAGAGAGCAGGGTACTCACCACACAGCACCTCACACTCACACAGAGAGCAGGGTACCCACCACACAGCACCACACACTCACACAGAGAGCAGGGTACCCACCACACAGCACCTCACACTCACACAGAGAGCAGGGTACTCACCACACAGCACCACACACACACACAGAGAGCAGGGTACCCACCACACAGCACCTCACACTCACACAGAGAGCAGGGTACTCACCACACAGCACCACACACACACAGAGAGCAGGGTACCCACCACACAGCACCTCACACTCCGCACTGCACCCAGTGGAGTCGGGGCGTCACCGCTGGCCCGTCCACAGCCCCCCTCCCCCCCTCCTCCCCTCCTCCCCCCCGCCCCCCCCCCCCCGTCCCCCCCCCCGCCCCCCCTCCCCTTCCGCCCCGCCCCCCCCCTCCCCCCCAGCACAAGGGAGACGACGCCCCCCGGGGCGTGCGTGGTGCTGGCCCCCCCTCGTGTGCCACAGTGCCGACCTCCGTAGGCTGTGCCCCTGCTACTTGCTACTCACAGCACTTGCCCTCACAGTCTGTGCCTGGCTACACGGGGTGCTGGTGGTGGTGGTAGTGGTGGTGGTGGTAGTAGTGGTGGTGGTGGTAGTGGTGGTTGTGGTGGTGGTGGTAGTGGTGGTAGTGGTGGTGGTGATAGTGGTGGTGGTGATAGTGGTGGTGATTGTAGTGGTGGTGATGGTAGTGGTGGTGATAGTAGTAGTGGTGGTGATAGTGGTGGTGATAGTAGTAGTGGTGATGATAGTGGTGGTGATAGTGGTGGTGATTGTAGTGGTGGTGGTGGTGGTGATAGTGGTGGCGATAGTGGTGGTGATAGCGGGGGTGGTGGTGATAGTGGTGGTGATTGTAGTGGTGGTGGTGATAGCGGTGGTGGTGGTGATAGTGGTGGTGATAGTGGTGGTGATACTGCTGGTAATGCTGGCAACCCACCCCCCACAGTGCCGGCCTTCGTAGGCAATGCTGCTACTCGCTCACAGCACTAGCCCCTGCAGTGTTATTGAGGCTACACGGTGGGGGGGCTCTGTGTCTGTGTGCGGCAGGCCCCGTGCGCCGCGTCTACCTCACCTACGAGAGCCCCCCGGCACAGCCGGCCGGGAGCCGTCGCGTGCTCCACGCGTTCCTGGACGACTGGCGCTCCATCTCACGCCTCTACAGCTGCGTGCTGGACTTCTCTCACACGCTGCACGGTGAGTCGCCTGCTCGCTCGCTCGCTCGCTCGCTCAGTCACTCACTCACTCGCTCAGTCACTCACTCGCTCACTCGTTCAGTCACTCACTCGCTCAGTCACTCGCTCGCTCAGTCGCTCGCTCACTTGCTCACTCGCTCAGTCACTCACTCGCTCACTCACTCGCTCAGTCACTCACACGCTCAGTCACTCACTCGCTCAGTCACTCACTCGCTCAGTCACTCACTCGCTCAGTCACTCGCTTGCTCACTCGCTCAGTCACTCGCTCGCTCACTTGCTCAGTCACTCACTCGCTCAGTCACTCACTCGCTCAGTCACTCACTCGCTCACTCGTTCAGTCACTCACTCGCTCAGTCACTCGCTCGCTCAGTCGCTCGCTCACTCGCTCACTCGCTCAGTCACTCACTCGCTCACTCACTCGCTCGGTCACTCACACGCTCAGTCACTCACTCGCTCGGTCACTCACTCGCTCAGTCACTCGCTCGCTCACTCGCTCAGTCACTCGCTCGCTCACTTGCTCAGTCACTCACTCGCTCGCTTACTCATTAGCTCACCCGAGTGATCGTTCTAGTGGTTGTGTTTGTAGTGGTGGTTGTGGCTGTTGTATCGATTGTTGTGGCTGTTGTATCGATTGTTGTGGCTGTTGTTGTTGTTGTAGAGACGACTATTCACTTCAGTCAGTTTGCGGAGGTGCGGACTTACACCTACAAGAAGCTGGTGCTGTGTTACGGACCCAACAAGGGCAGCTCGGTACGCTCACCACTCACTCACCACTCACTCACCACTCACCACTCACTCACTTACCATTCACCACTCACTCACCACTCACTCACCACTCACTCACTCACTCACTCGCCACTCACTCACCACTCACTCACTCACTCACCACTCACTCACTCCCCACTCACTCACCACTCACTCACCACTCACTCACTCCCCACTCACTCACCACTCACTCACCACTCACTCACCACTCACTCATCACTCACTCACTCCCCACTCACTCACCACTCACTCACCACTCACTCACCACTCACTCACTCCCCACTCACTCACCACTCACTCACCACTCACTCACCACTCACCACTCACACACTCACTCACTCACCACTCACTCACCACTCACTCACCACTCACTCACTCACCACTCACTCACCACTCACCTCACCACTCACTCACCACTCACTCACCACTCACCACTCACT